GGTGAAAAGTCTGTCTTATATATATATGTTTCATAAAGAATGATGAAATATAATATGAATGAAAAATGGCCAGTTTTCATGTGATTGCAAGCAAGCAATGATATTTCTATAAACATGTGGATTCTTCAGATATTTTGGTTTTTTATTTCTTTGTAAAATCTATGAGACCTTGGGGTTCTTTTGAGGAAAGTGTTTTTACTTGTACAGAGAAAAAATATTGTATGCATTATTATTTAGGAGTGTGAAATGACAGCCAGTTGCCTACCCAATATCCAATTTTTCCCCCAGTGAAGCCGGGCATTGTTCCAGAGATAGATAAAAGACAAGGAAATGAATTGAGATGTGAACAGATGTTCTATGATGATCCAAAGTTTAAACTTTTTTCATGTCTATGGAGTTTTTGTTTATAAAATTATTTTGATTATCTTTTCTGTCATTGACTTAAATGTATAAATGTGTGTTCTTAAGTATAATCAGGTTTAGTCTGAGGAACAGGGCAGAAAATTTTTCAGAAGATGATGAAAAAAATTAAACCCCCCAAGGATCTTCCTTATTAAATATCCACTACAGTGCAATGGAAATCTCAGTGCCTTTAAATTGGTTAGCCATTTCATTATTGTTTTTAAGATTTCAAACAATACAACAGCAACAAAAACCGTCTCTATGTAAAACTTGAGGAATCCAGAAAACTTGTACCAATGACAATGGAGAGACATAGGCAGAACCCAGCTGATACAGCTGCCTATTGAATACACTTAAGTAAATGAAGGACCATGTGGTTGAGACATTCTTTCTTTTACCACAATGGCTTGCAGGTGACTACTTGCAAGAGTAAAGATCAACATGATCAAGCAGAGCGCATTTTATTGCATGGTAGGCATGCACTCTCAGGTGTTCACATTGTTCCATGAGAACAGATATTTAATTACTGGAAATATTGAAATAAAATACATACTGATACCTTTCCAAATTGGTTGGTAATAATGCTTTTAATCTTTAGGTTTGTTCTTGAATTTTTATTTAAACTGTGATATAGCTTTCCTTACTTTCAATTTTTTTTTAATAAATTGTTTCAACCATCCCCTAATGAAGTTCCTCAAGCCCTGGCTAGGTACTGACTCAATGGAGGCAGTGAAACATGAACCCTACTGTGAATTGCCATGGAGCTGAACTGTGTGCTCTTCATGAGGGTCTACCCCTCCCATCTGCACACCTTGTCCATGGAAAATTCACCTTTCCATGGATGCAGTTCCTTATGCCAACAGGTTGGGGCATGCTGCTTCAAAACATCTTTTAGCCACACTTCAAAACAACAATGTGTCCACTTGAACTACTTGTGTTTAGTAACATTTAAAGAAAATTTCATGCAAAAATGCATACTTTGCTCGCTCAGTGGAACTGAAAATGTGTGAGAATAAAAAACTACAAAATTTGGCTGTTTTGACACTGAAAGCACCTGGTTCTTTGGAAGATGTAAAGGTCAAATTAAAATGGGATGCCTGAGTATTTTGTAAAGTACACTGAGAATACTGAATTTAGAAAAGCTAATTTGCTTGACTAAAATTGTGACAAGTGTAGAAGCTAAAAATAAAAGAAAGAGTAGAGCTGGCATAAAAATTAATATTCTCATGTGACTGGCACTGCAATGAAATACAGAAATAAAGTGGATGAATGTACATTAATTTTATTATGAATTAAAGTCAGACTAATACTTTATATTGTGAGCCAAGGATAGCTTGTCTATGAAAAGACAAAAAATTACAAGCTATATTTTAGGTAATGTTAGTGTTTAATCATCCTGAAAAACAACAATTGGAAATGTTTCTCACCTTTGTTTTTACATGTGTATTCTGACATCTGAACTTCTCTATAAATAGGTTTGCCCCCTCCTAACACGAGAATAATTGGGCCACAATGTACATAATGAGAATACAATGAGCGTGTGCATCACCATCTTATCCTGATCCTAGCTCTGTACCCACAGGACTAGTTTCATTTCATACTATATTTCACAGATAAGGACAGTGCTGAAAAAAAAGAAAAAGAAAAAGAAAAAAAAAAACTATTTGCCTAGGTCACAAGAAGGAGACAATGTGGTAAAATCAAATCATGATACTTAGTTGTTAGAATCAGAATTCAAGATACCCTGTTTCTTTAACTACTTAACCTTAATTTCTAGGGTTATGTCACAATGAATAGAATTTCAGATTCATGTAGGCAAAGGAATTTTGCCAGAAAGTTGAAAATATTAAAAACTAGCCTTGATCCCCAGAAAAATATTTCAAGGCCCTTGAGAAATATGAACGGACACAAAGGTAAGTGTGCGTACCTTTCAAAGTTAAAGAACTGAAGTGTATGAAAGAGAAATCTCCCACATACACCTTCCATGCACACTTTATCCTTTCACGAATGCAGGCTCACTTTGACTTTGGCCATAGTCAGTCTCTTAAGTAGAAGGTACGAGGCCATAGATATGTGCCTTGCATGTTTCCAATTTTCTAGAAAAACACTATTTTCATATATTATATCCTAAAGATAAAGTTTGTTGGTGATATAACTACATGCAATTTCTTAAAATTTTACTGTCTTTGTGAGATCTTTCAATTTGCATAAATTCTGAAATATTAGACTATCTTTTACAGACAATATGTCTAAAATTTCATCTTGTTACTGATACAGTGGAACCAAGGTACAGATATCATTGTGTTCTCCCAACTTTCAAATTCAAGTAAGTCTTGGAAAGAAAATAGAGTACAAGAAGAACCTATTCTGGAAGGTGAGTGTAAGGGAGGAAAAAGACTAGGTAACTGTTTTGAAGCCTAATGCACAATAACTTTTAATAATATCTGCAATTTTTAAAAATATTGTGTGAGGTCAAAAATAAGTGTCAGTATGTTCCTACATCAGGATATTCACTGTAAAGTAGATGATTCTAGCTTGCTTTTGAAAAACGGTCCAGGAATATTGTTTGCCTATTTGTGTGTTTGTAATATTTGTGTATGTG